GTCCGGAAAATTTTCTTCTCCATGAGTTCGAAACAAGCACCAAGGTCGGATTGTTTCACGAGAAAGTTTTTCAAAGCCTTTTGGGATATAGTCGGTGATTCTGTGATTGTAGCGATTTGCTCGTTCTTTTCTATGAGCAGGATACTCCGTAGCTTCAATCATACTTGGCTGACGCTGATCTCAAAAGTGGACAATGTTGAAACCATGAGGCAAATCTGACATATTAGCTTGTGTCAATTTGTGTATAAAGTTATAACCAAAATTATGTCAGAAAGACTGGCCTGTCTGTTGTCGCAGATCATCAGCCAAAATGCTTTCATTTGGGAGCGGAAAATAGTGGAGAATGTCCTTTTTGGGCATGAGTTAATGCACTATTTGAAAATCAAAATGCGGGGAAAGAAAGGGTACATGGCTCTAAAGGTTGACATGCAAAAGGCCTATATAGAGTCTAATGGCCTTTTCTACTTGCGGTTTTTGACGAGATGGATTTTAACTCGACCTGGAGAGGATGGGTGCAGGAATGTCTCATATTGATGTCATTTTTTGTCCTTATGAATGACACACCTTCAGGGTTCATCACACCCTTTAGAGGACTCTGACAGGGGGATCCGCTCTCTCCTCTCCTGTTTGTGATTTTCACGGAGAGGTTTGTGGCTCTCATGCGGAAAGCCATTTCGGAAGGGAAACTGGAAGGAGTTAAAGTAGCCCTCGTTCTCCACAGATCTCGCATATGCTTTTGTAGATGAATCGTATTTATTCATTAGAGGCTCTCTACAGGAATGTGAGAATTTGATCACGACGTTAAATGAATATGAGGAACTTAGTGTCCAAAGTATTAACTTGGCTAAGTCGGCGATTTGGTTTAGCAAGAATATCGCTCTGGTGGACCAAAATTTCCTTGCTCACATTCTTAGTGTGGGGGTTGTGGGGGTCCAAGATAAATATCTGAGATTGCCTACTTTGATAGCCCAATCAAAATCGCTACGTTTCGATATTTGGAGGATAAGTTGCTAGCTCGACTTCATGGGTGGAAGCAGTGGACTCTATCTTGGGCAGTGAAGGAGACTTTGATTAAGTTAGTCGCTTTAGCCTTACCATAACATGTTATGTCATGCTTCAAGCTACCTCTCTCGCTCTGTCGCCTCGTGGATAAACACGTTGCCAGGTCTTAGTAGGGTGTTGAGAATGGTCAATCGAAGATACGATGGATGTCCTGGCATAACATGTGCAGAAGTAAGCACGATGGGGGGATTGGGTTTCGCCGTTTCAAGCATTTCAACCAATAACTTTTAGCCAAGATTGGCTGGCGCATCCTGAACAAACCAACCTCTCTTCTCGTGCAGGTGTATAAAGGGAAATATTTTCCAACGGGGAACTTCCTCGATGTTACTGCACGTGCTCGTCCATCTTGGGGCTGGCAAAGCATCTTCTTCGCTCGACAAATGTTGGTCCAGGGGGGCTACGATGACAAATTGGTAATGGGCAGTCAGCTCCGCTGTTTCATACCAATTGGGTCCCTCGGTTACATCCCTTTGCCCCTATTTATAATCCCCGGGTCTTGCCAGAAGATGGTGAACTTCATGCAGTAGAGGTTATATGTCAAGGGGAAGGGCATTCTTGTGACCTAAAACTAAGCTAGTGGTTTGACCCACCAATTTGTTGTGCTATCAAAGAAATCCCTCTACCTAGACATAATGTTGAGGATCGATTAGTCTGGCATGGTACGTCTGACGGGTCCTTCACTGTTAATTCAGCTTATCACATGGCGGTCTTGTTGGATAAAAAGGATGATACATGGCGATCCATGGCTAGTTGGATGGATAGGTCCAGGATTCGGCTGTGGGACGCTAATATTCCCCCAAAGTTAAAAGTTTTTCTTTGGCAAATTTCCAACAGTCTCCTTCCTGCGACGGAAGCACTAATCGAGAAGGATGTCCAGGTGGCCAGTTTGTTGGGCAGAATCGGAGACAATGGAACATATATTTCTTGATTGCCTAATGGATAGGGGCTTGTGGGATTATGCGGGGCTTGAACATCTTGGTCAAGGGCTACCTCGTCACACTTTCCTGTTGTTCCTGAAAAAGTTGATGTTGCTCATACATCAACCTCAGTTGTTTATGGCGATTATTACAGTCCTTTGGAGGATCTGGCGATCACGAAACTGGGTTGTTTTTTACGGCAAACAGTTTGGGATCCCAGCTTTAATGCGGCAGTTCCACCAGCAGTATCAAGAGTGGGTAAGTTTGCATGTTGATAGAACTCAGCGGTTAACCGTCCCTCTCGTTCAACCATTGGGGATTGTTCACCCTAGTCCAATTATATGTAAGTGAGATGGGGCAACCAAGCATGAGTCTTATTCACCAAGAGGGATGATTATCATGAATCAAGCTGGGGAGGTTCGCTTGGCTAAAGGGGTACAGTTTGTGGGTATTGATGATCCTTTGATTGCTGAGATGCTCACCCTCTGGGAGGCTATTTTCTGGTGCCTGACGTCTGGATTTACAGATGTGAGATTGGAAGGTGACGCCAAGGTGATTATTGAATAAAATCAATCGGTCAGATACCAGGGATAGCCGGATTGGAGCCCTTCTTGCGAAAGTTGGGCATTGGTTCGCGATTCATAGTGGGCTTATTGTGCGGTTTGTAGGACGCTGTAGTAATAGGGTAGCCCATTTGGTGGCTAGAAAGGCCATTCAATTGTACCCGACTACAAGTAACTTATTTGATTTTTTGGGCTGGTTAAATTCCAGGATGTAATTGTCTGTTTTTTTAGTTCAATATATATTATTATCTTTTGTAAAAAAGTCCAATGTTATCAAGGTGCTGTTGGACTACTTGTTGAAATGTCGGGTGAAGCTTCTTACATTTAAAACCTTTAGATGCTCGTTCGATTACTAGGATTGTTTTATTGAGATTGTTACCATGCTTTCGTTTTTAAGAATACAATAATTGATATTTTTATGCACACATAATATATGTATTGTTTGTTTGACGTGACACAAACAACCATCAAAATAAATCATTGTGCATCTTAAATTTTAGTTAATATTGTTGGAATTATTTAGTTGAGATTGTTATTTTTTTGTTTTATTATTTTAAATATGTAGCATTGAAAAGAAATCATACAAGTGATATTTCGATTAAAAAGTTACTTCTATTTTTATTTAAAAACATTATTATATATAATATTGTAATCCGGTGGTGTTAGGCTCTTGGTTTCCCCCAAGTTTTGTTTGAGTGAGATGCTAAGGTGCTCATTGATAAGGTTAATGCCAATGATGCACGGGGATGGTCGTGTTGGGGCTATTATTCAGGAGATTTTGTGTCTGCTAGTTTTGAATGGTGGCTTCCAGGTTAGGTTCGTAGGTCGGAATAACAATAGGGTAACCCATTCTGTGGCTAGAAAGGTCCTGTCTTTGTCTCCGTTCTTGTGTCGTTTGTACGATTTTCGTGCCTGGGTTGGGTTCAAGATGTAACTTGTGATATTTTCTTAATCAATATGATTATCTTTTGTCAAAGAAATATAATATTATAATCTATAATACACCAAATTTATTAATATTTATAAAAATACATGTATTATTCACATTAAAACAACTGAACAATTGGGGGGAAAATATAATATTGTAACACCAAATTTATTAATATTTATAAAAAAATACATGTATTATTCACATTAAAACAACTGAACAATAGAAAGAAAAAAAAAACAAATGAAATCAGGTGTGACTTCAAATGCTTTGTATTGTCCTTTCTTTAAAGAAGTACTCATTAATCGATGGTGTTTTTAATTAATTGAGTTCATCATTATCGAAGGAAAAAAAATCTGCCGTGTTTTAATTTCTGACTCAACATCCGAAGAATATTATTCTTACCATCAATTTATTTTCATCTTCTTATGACACATTAATCAACTTATTGCAAAATTCAGAGAACCTCATTCACCAAATACACCTTCTAATACCAAAAATGTCAATTTACTATAAAAACGAGTGAAGACAGAATGCAAAAGACATTGCATCTCCCTCTGCCTTTATTAGGGAAATGTCTGAAAATGAAATTGGAAGGAGGAAAAGAAACCTCAACTTATTAGGAAAATCCAATTCCAACCTATATGCTTAATCAAGAATGACCCGACCCACGACATTCTAGCCTCAAGAAAATTCAGGTGCCCGAAGTCTGATTTTGACCGCCCTCTTTAGATGGCAATTCATCGAGAGTTTTTCCGAATTCAAACTCAATCAAATAAGTACACTCACATTCTCATATTTTCGCAAATATAACAATTTATAATTCCTCCAAATACTCGCATCCTTACATTGTTTAAACAATTTATTGTTATAAAGACTAAAATCATAAATACTAATCCATATTTACATAAAAAGCAGACCTATATTGACCATGTTCATATCCAATCCGAAACTCTTCAATGAAAATTTTACCGACTTCAATGGATTGGAATGAATTGGACACTTACAAACAATGCAATAAAAAATGTGATTCTACTTACAAATATATTGATAAACTAAAAACATAAATGGTAGGATTGTAAATTTAGAACACAATTTTGACGGCACTGCTTACAAGTTGAGGTTAAATTGTTATCTTTTTACTTTTTACACACTTTTGTTTCCCCACTCTTTCATCTTTTTACCATTCACCCCTCTCCACATTAAAAAAAACAAGAAAAGCCACCCGCTTTACTTACACTTCCAGCACAGCACTGGCAAACAAACAAGACACTTCCCCCATCCCCTCCCCTCTCTCCCCCTCCATTAAAAACAGAATTTCCCCCCTCTCCCTCTCTCTTCTGCTTCTGAGCTTCTCCTTCCTCACCTCACCACCGCCCACCTCCTTCCTTTCGTACTTTCTCTTCTGCTCCACAGCAGGCGCAAACCATTACTTTAAAGAAGAACAAAACCCAGAGTACTCGACTCGGGTCGACTCCGGTCGGGAGGCTCTGTTCCCACACCCTCCGCGTCGTTCACCACAACAACACCATGGCCAAGGAGAGGGAGAAATCAGCAGCCGGCGGCGAGAAGAAGCTGTTTATGGGAGTCGTATGGAACTGCGCCGCCGAGCTCAAGCTCCTTTTGACCGCTCTCCTCATCCTCTGCTCCGTCGCCACCCTCCTCCAGTTCCTCCCTTCCCGCTTCACCATCTCCACCTCCGATCTGCGCTTCTGCATCTCCCGAATCACCACCACCACCACCACTATCTCCACCACCACCGCCGCCGACGCCGCCGCCCTCGCCGCTCTCAACTCCTCCTCCTCCTCCGCCGCCCATACCGCCTCACATCTCGTCGTTCCGCCGCCTCCCCTTCCTTCGTCTCCCCCCGCCGTCGAAAAGGACAAGGTGCTCGAGAACGGCGTAATCAAGCGCGTATTCAACCCGTACGGCTCCGCCGCCTACAATTTCATCACAATGGGGACTTACAGAGGCGGGCTCAACACCTTCGCCATTAACGGTCTCGCTTCCAAACCTCTCCACCTCTACTCCAAACCCACTTATCAATGCGAGTGGGTCCCCGAACCGTCGTCGAATTCCAATTCCTCCGCCGCTCCTCCTCCTCCGATAACCACCGTCGGTTACAAGATGCTTCCCGATTGGGGGTACGGCCGGGTCTACACCGTCGTCATCGTGAACTGCACTTTCGCCGAGCCAATCAACACCGACAATTCCGGAGGCAAGCTCTACCTCCTCGCCTCCACATCCGGCGGCGGCGACACCAAATTCAACACCACCGACCGAATCCAGGTCCTGGAGGAGCCGAAAGGGAGCGTCGATTTTGGGGTTTTCACCTCCAAGCCCAAGTACGACTACCTCTACTGCGGTTCGTCGCTGTACGGCAACTTGAGCCCGCAGAGGGTGAGGGAGTGGATTGCCTACCACGTGAGGCTGTTCGGGGAGAGATCTCACTTCGTCATTCACGACGCCGGCGGCGTCTACGACGAGGTGTTCGAGGTTCTGAAGCCGTGGATGGACCTGGGATACGTGACGCTGCAGGACATTAGGGACCAGGAGAGGTTCGATGGGTATTACCACAACCAGTTCATGGTGGTGAACGATTGCCTTCACCGCTACAAGTTCATGGCTAAGTGGATGTTCTTCTTCGATGTCGACGAGTTCATCTACGTCCCGCCTAAAAGCACCATCAAAACTACTCTGGATTCGCTTTCCGAGTACAACCAGTTCACCATTGAACAGATGCCCATGAACAGTAAGCTCTGCCTCACCGCCGACTATGGCAGATACTACAGGTAACCCCATTTCTCAATTAAGTTGCCCTTTCTTTTTGTTCTTCTATTGCGCCGTTACTTGAATTGAGTTCTGCTCTTTCCTAATTTGCCTGCAATTATGTATGCTGACCGTCAATCAGTCATAGATTCATACTGGTCATTATGGTATAAACTAGAAACATAAACTAGTGTTTATTTACGCACAAATTGAAGCAGCACCCGGGGATTCTCATTCTAGTCTGGAATGGAATTATTGTTGGTTTCCATAATGTGGGGTTTTGAAGACTGATGGTGGGTGGTTGCTTGAATGCTACTGCTAGTCCATTTGCCGGACTGCGAGGGCAACAAAACAAAACAGAAACAGGGGAATAGAATAGAGGGATGGTGGGGATAATGAATTGCATTGAAAAATGAATTAAGAAGAAAAAAAAGCATCCAAGAAGAAAGTGAAGGAGAGATCCAGTGAGACCAGTGGTGGTTGGAATTATTATCATTCATTTCATTTTCTGGCGTGACCATTGAAATGAAGACCTCTTTCGCTGTCCTGTTCTTGTGTAGCCATGATGGAGACCCTTTCTCATACTTTGTCTAAAGCTCAATCACTCTGTTTTTCTCTTTTCATATATGTGGTCCGTCCTTTTCTCTTGTTGATGAAGAGTTCCCCCAAATGATCTCCAATTGCCATCATAGACAGAAAGACGAACAATACCATTTTGATGAAATCAAGAAACCACCTTTTCACTATGGATGAATGGAATTGGGGTGAATTGTCAAATGGGTTGTGCACATTGTGTGAATTAGAGTATTGGGTTGGTTCCTGATTGTGGGTTTTTTCTGTACACTGATGCAGGAAATGGGGGATGGAGAAGCTGGTGTACAAGGACGTGAAGAAAGGGATAAGGAGGGACCGGAAGTACGCGATCCAGCCGAGGAATGTGTACGCGACTGGGGTGCACATGTCGCAGAACCTGGTGGGGAAGACGAACCACAAGACGGAAGGGAAGATCAAGTACTACCATTACCATGGCTCCATCGCGCAGAGGCGGGAGCCGTGCAAGACGCTGCTGAACGTGACCGAAACTTACTTCGACAAGACGCCATACGAGCTGGACACGACGATGAGGGACATTGCCTGGGCGGTCAAGAAGTTCGAGCTCAAAATGATTGGCACCAGGCTGCAGAACACGCGGCAGTGATCCCGCCATCCCCGCCGGTCGGTCCACACATTGAAAAAAATTAACCGGGCGGCGAAAAGAGAAAGAAAAAATTGTTTTCATTTTTGTCATTATGATTTCTTTTTTTTTTATTTTTATAAATTAGGTTCCCTTCCTCTTCTCTTCTTTCTCTCCATTTAATTTCCTTTTTGTTTATAAATATGCCTACTCCCCTTCCTTGGCTTCTTCTTTTATTTATTTTTGTGGTATATTATTTTATAGAACTTACAGGAGGATTCATATATAAATTAGGGGGAGTTTCTTCTCTTCTTCTTGTTCTTCTGCTTCCTTTTTTCTTTTTCTTGGTTTGTATAAAGGAATTGATGAATAATTTAACTCAATTAGTGGAATGGAGTACAGGTAGATGGGTGTCGTTTTTCGCCATTCCTTTCTACGATTCTGATGCTGCATATTTTTTTATTATATAGCTTTTTTATTTTCTATCATAGCTTACTAGCTTGGCTATCGAGCTGTTGTTGTTCATCTCCGGGCTCCATTACAAAATACACGAACATGGCTTGTGTTCTGTAATGATGATTGCATATGGATCTGTTTGCTTTCACCGAAATGGGCTACACACACTGATGATCTTTCCTTAAAGCAGAATATTTTAATATAATTACATTTCTTTATTTTGGAGTTATGATTTCGCAGCCGATTAGATCCATGCAGTGGCGGACCCAGGATTATTGAAGAGGGGTGTCGCCGATAAAAAATTATAATAATTAAGATAATGAAATAAAAATTTAATAGAAATTACTGGAAATTTATCTATAAGTTCACAACCTCATGTTTACTACGAATTATGACGATTTTTTATATTTGAGATTTTTTTAAAATACATTCATCATTTATGTTGTAAATCAAACCTTTTTTGATATACACAACTACATAATCATTCATAAATTAGTCACTCAACTAAAGAGAATCGACCTACGTCTAAAATCAAATTAAAATAAATTAGTTTGCTACCAATCGGCTATTTTAGAAAAAAACAAAGTATGCCTAAGTAATATCATTAGCATTTTTTCTCTAGTTCTATCAAATTAACCAAAATCAAACCATAATCTCCCATAAATATAGGCAATTCACCTATTAACTACAAATCAATAAGTTAAATTGGGTTGTGGGTTACTTAAAACAAGCATGCTTATTTGATTTTACTTATTATTGTTAATTACTAATTATGACGAATAACTTTATAACATTAAAACTATTGTCGTATCATGAAAGCGTGTCGCTTATAATTATTAGAGCGGTGTCGGAAGTTCCAAATTAAAAAAATTTATACCGAAAAATTGAAGGTCCTTCACAAAATTTTCGAGCGGAGGGGTGTCGGACGACACCCCTCCCCTTGCCCTAGGTCCGCCCCTGGATCCATGGTTGATTGACGGGGGACAATTTGCTGGTTTAATGTCCTTATATTATATATGTACGTGAATGAAAGCCAATTGCAACTTATGAGCTTCATATTTATACAAGTCCGTCATATCTTATTATTAAATCAATTGATAATATTAGTAGTCGTAGAAGTTTGATGAGAAACCCTCTTGGTCATAACATACACGAATAGCATGTCAATAATCAATCATCCTTATAACTCGAGTTTGCTCTGTATTAATGACAATAACTTTGAGAATCTCGTATTTTGCAAAAATATTGAGAAGTAATATCTCTGTACAAACACATCAATCCACTTCCCTTGAAGTAAATTACTTTCTATCTTTCTCTTTTAACACGTTGCGGAGGGTAAATAGTTGGGTTAATGATTGGATTCGTTAATTTGCAGTAGAAAAAAGAAACCCTGACTGACAAATAGGGGAATTTTCTTTTGGGAATTATTTTAATTTATCCTCTGGCGGTGGGCTGAATGGTTGATTACTACAACTTTGATTTGGTGCGGTGTCGGTGGGAGAGGGATGAACGGTGGCCGGAGGGGTGGGTTCCAGTCCAGCAGTCGCCACCGCATCCGCCACCACCGAATTGTAAGGTAGGAAACGTGCCGTAGGACGGAGATTGGGGTCCACCACCGAATTGTTTTTGGGGCCAATACATATCTCTTTGGCCGTCGTCAATCATCGTTGATGCATGTGGGGGATTATGATGGATGGTTGTTTCGTTGTGTTGCCAATTATGAATCACACTTTCTCTTTTTTTCTATTCTCCCTCCCTTTTTTAACTACTGATTGAGAGGCGAGATGATGATGGCGCAACAGATTCTCTAATTTCTGCCTGTTTTTTTTAGGATTTGGGGTTATTTCATTTTATTCCCTCTCCAAAAAATCTTAATTATTATTATACAATTAGAAGATGGATATTAGAATAATATTTTCATAAATGAATTTATTAGCTAAATTTTTTTCAAGACGTGAGCAGATAGGTTTTGTAATAAATTGCATAAGTTGTACAAGTACGCAAGATATCTATTATTCATAAGAATTACGAAGTTAAACGTATTTATTGTGAAATATTGCAATGTTAAAGAAGAAGTATGCATAAAAAATGCGTTGGGACCTTTTCTAGTGTCTAGCTCTTACAGGCGTAGGTTAATCCCCCTATGACATGAGAAATTAAAAAAAAAAAACAATTTATACCAAATGATGAATAAAATATCATTTTCACAACACTTTCGCATTTCAGTTAAATTATAAATAAGTTCATCAATACTTAGCAATAAGAAAAATAGCTCACAAGTTCCTAAAATCGTAAATCAATAGTTCATGAAGTTCTTGAGCTACCAAAATATTGAATTTTCAAATGATATTAAGTTCCATTTTCTTATTGACTGCATAACTCAACCTATATATGTATATGCGATTAGGGGTGGCTATTTGGACCGGGACCGGATTAAAAACCGAAAACCGGACCGTATAACCAGGACCGGGACCGGATAGTAAACAATCCAATCCAATCTTTGGGCTTAGATTTGAGGTAAAAAACCGGATAAAGACCGGATAAGAGAACTCAACACCCAAAACTTAAGGGTAATTTGCATAAACGGTCACAAACCTTTGCACTTAGTACAAAACTTAACCAACTCCTCACCCTTTAAGGCCTTAGGCCACTCAAATCCCACAATCTCAATGTAAAATCAAGACCAAATTGGGACCGGACTGGATCAAAACCGGACCGGATCAAGACCGGACTGTATCCAATCCAATCTCCGGTCCTTATATTTTCAAAAAGACCGGACTGGACCGGATTAATTTGAGCCAATTTAACCGGACCGGACCGTATAGCCACCCCTATATGCGACACATAAGTATTCTCTTATTCTACTCATGCATTTTGGATTCCTAACTTGTTGAGTAACTTCGAAACAAGATAGTTTGATGATGTCTAGCACCTTATGCTTAGACACAATTTTATGAATCATGATTAACAGTCCCGAGTAGTCAGCGGCGAAGCCAAATGTAGAGGAGAGGGGTCCTAGGATCCCACTTGGAAAAAAATAGGGGCAACAAAACCCTTTAGATATGTAAGGTTTAGTACGATCATTTGTATTTAGTACCCGATACTTTTGTTAATGTTAGCTCATTTAAGAACATCAATCAACTCAAATTTCATTAGATACACAGACTAAAACGTTTTAAAATTCTGAAGGACCCCAATCAATTTAAGTCTGGCTTACTGGCTACATCATTGCAACTAGTGCGTCATGTATAGAGAGAAAAGGCAGAGTCGGAGGCGGAAAGAGTATAGTAGTAGTACAAAAGGGAACCGAAGGAATGCGTTCGTTGTTCTTCTCTGCTAGCTGGATGGTGCTCTAGGCTCTAGCTATCTAGTCCAGGAATCCACCCTCTCTCACCCTTTGTTTTTTTCCCAGTAGAAAGTTGGAGGGTGTTTGTGTTTCCACTTTCCATCCCATTTTTAGTCCTTTATTAAACCTTTTGACCAGTTCTTATGTTCTTCTCTTCTCCCTCTTCCTTTCCTTTTTTTGGTAGCCATTCTCCCTCCTCCTTTCAATCTTTCTTTGCCCTCTCTATTTACTTTTCCAATTCATTCTTAGTTTTTTTTTTTTTTTTTTTTTTACAATATTCTTAGCTTTCTTTCAGATTTGGATAATGCCCTCGCTTGGTCCCATTGTAAGTTTTTCGCAGAGTTTTCCTTCGAGGCCTCTCTTTTATATCAACTGGATATGGTTGGTTCAGATTTAACGACGAATGTAAAATGTTATTGTAAACGTGTTGTATGACAAAATAAATTTCGTGTGAAATGTTCATAACAATTTTTACCCGTTGGACAATAAGATAATGAGTTAGAGGAGGATGATCTGCAAACTATTGAGTAAGAAGAACATGTTCGATCAATTCCGCAGCCACTTTGGTCTTCTTCGATGGGAAATTAGAGATTTCCCTGTTGTCCATGTATTCGGAATCGAATGAGATATATATGAGTAAAAATGCAAATTATATACAAAAATCGTTTTAGCACATAAATAAAAGGAAAAAAAGATTAAAAAAAAGGTTACCATGTGAAGCTAAAAGAAATAAAAGGAAAAATGTTAATGACGCAATATGTTTTAAAGAAATAAGAAAAGGACCAATATATGAGGCTAAAAGAAAAACATAAAAATACGGGTATGCCTATGGTGACATGCATGTCACCGTAATTTGTACTTCTAGGTCGACCTAATCTGCATTTTTAGGTCGACCTCTCATATAGGATTAGGTCGACCTAATACGTCGTTTCAGTTTTGTGAGGTTTCCGAATACATTAATGTGGGCACCCTGATGACTTATCACGGTCGACCTTTAAAATGTAGTGGTAGACTGTTTGTAGTTTAAGTTGTCATTGTTGGTCAATCACAATAAAACATCGGTCTCCCTTTTCATTGGCGTCAGAAGCAAAATGGTCGATCGTAAAGGTATATAGGTCAACCACTTGATGACGTTCATTAACAAAATGGTTGACCATTTACTAAAAGAGGTCGACCAAATAGAAGAGAAGTGTTGTATCCATTTATCCATCATCATTTGACGTAAAATGAAGATAAAGTGTTGGTTTCGCTGTCGACCTAATCTGGTACGAGGTCGACCGAATACAAGAAAATCAACCTATGCCCTGCGTCTTTTTTGCTTATGTATGTCGATGTGGATGGTTATTTTACTCGTACAAATTACGTTTCAAACCAACAGAATCAGACATAAATAATGATAACAATGACTCATAACTTCCACGTGGTCGACCTCTTGAATCACGTACAGCAGCAACCACAAAGGATATTCTTCACAAAAGCTCTAACCATAAAAAAAACCTAATTCAGAGTTTCGATGGCGGTGAAAGTGACACATGTTCGTATTTATAGATATTTAGGACGAGAATGGGTCAAATTAAGTGCTAGATAAGTTAGGGTTACCTTTCTGGTGTTGGAATCCTTATCCAATATGGATACGGTGTGCACGCGGTCGACCTCGTACTTAAGCGGTCGACCTCAGTTAATCAAAATGGTCGGCCTATGAGGTATTTGGGTCGACCTTTCATTATGTTCACTTCCCAAAGAGGTCGACCATTTGCTATAAAAGGTCAACCGCGTCGTTGAACCTCACAAAACTGAAACGACATATTAGATCGACCTAACCCTATATAAGTTCGACCTAAAAGTGCAGATTAGATCGACCTCATCCTATATAAGGTCAACCTTAAAGTGCATATTAGGTCGACATAATTCTATATGAGGTCGATCTAAAAGTGCAAGTTAGGATGACATGCATGTCACCGTAGCAAGGTCAAAAATATGTTGCCGTTGAAACAATTAGAAAAAATATTAATGAATAATAACCACAAAACTATAGATTATATACAGCAACAATAATATGTAACCATTTTTGTTAAGCAGCTGAGTTAAGAGAGTTGCAAGTCCAGTTAGAGATAAACGAGTTAGACAATACGATCAGAGAAGATGGGACTATTGCCTTTGCACAAATTAGAGTTTTGGCATCACGAGGACATAGACTGCACTCGATATCTTACCACGTTGAGGTGCTGATGGTGAACCCATTTTTCTCCAAACACCGTTTCTTAGCTATTCAATGTACACACCAGGCAATGCTTTCAAGTCTCTGCTGCGTACCATTAGTTCTTCTTCCCCTACACCAGGTTCAGGAGGCAGGCAATATTCCACTTGCAAGTAGGACAGTAGCTGCCTCAGAAAGAAACCCGGCTTTCATTTTCAGCTCCAGTTTGCATATATTTTGTACCGTGTTTGGTCCCTATTAATGGCCCAAGCCTTCGTGGGTCCTGCTCTCTTCCTGCACCATAAATCAAAATGTCCCTGCTTGCGGTTGCAGCAGGTCAGGTCAGGGGAGAAATTAACTGCAACATGCATACTCTGCCACTCTGCTCTGCCTTCTTCACCAGCCCATACCGATTTATTTCCAGGTCGCATTGCAGGGGAAATAAACCATTTAATATACTTGATTTTGGCTTTAATTGTTTGCTTCTGTTCTCGTGTGGGAGGGGAGATGGGACGATGGATGGATGGATCTGTTGAGTTGGGGATTAATAGCCATGTGAAAACAGAGTGATGAGCATGGAAGGTGAAAGAAAGTGAGATGTCATGATGATGATGATGATGATGAAGAATCATATGGAACTGTCTTTGTGGGCCTTCGTTTGGCTCGATGCGCAACTGGCTAAAGCCCATGGCTATCTGCATGCAATTTGGCCTCTCTATCTCTGAAGATGCTGTGAACTAAGGAGGATCATCCGTTCTTTCGCATCCAAAGTAGATAGGAGGCAGGTTTGCTTTCCAATGACGAAATCATGTTTGCTTCTTCTTTTCATTCCCTCTTCCTCTGTAGAAAGAGGGTGCTGTGGCTTTTACCCTTTCCACCTAGTAGTACGGAATACTCTTTCTTACTTTTTTAAAAGAGTTAATGTAGCATTTCCAAACGGGTAAATGTTCTGGGTTTCGAGGAGGGTTATTATTTTAAGGCAAAATGCACCCGTGTAGTCAAAATTTTGACGGTTTTGCCAAATATAGTCACTTTTGGTGAAATACTAATAATAGCCACTTCCGTTCAATTCTTTGACGGTGTTAGTTAACGTGCTGACTGGACTAATAGAAAGGCTGACATGGCAACATTAATTAACTAACATTGTCACATGGATTTAATTGAAAAAAAAATATTTACTCTGCCTCTACCACTTCCTCGCTCGGCTCCTCCTCTACCATTAACTCCCATAATTCTTCCCAACCATTAGTTCTCCAACCAATTCATCGCCGCCAACCATCCCATCAAACTCACCTCCCACATCCCCACCAGCCTCTCCCCTGTCTTCTTCTTCCTCTCCAAGGACCGCAACATCCAACAACCAATTTTGCGCAGGTGGGGTCTTTATTCCTGGGACGGTACGTTCGTCAAATCCCTCCGCCACCCGATCTCTCCGCAATCTTCGCCCAATGCCAATCTTCTCCCAGATAATCGGTCTTCGCCATCGAGGAAAGGCGTGAGGGATCTCCATCGGCAGGGATGGAAACAGATCTGGACCATCGACAACTTAATTGAGGTCGCATAGCAGGGAGTAAATATCCTTGATGGATTTGTCTCGGGAGGAGGTGAAGGTCACGTTTGAGTTGTCAATGGGGGTGGATTTGGGAGGTTTCCCACTGCTGCTTGCCTATGGCGAGACCCGTCGATGATGGCGAAAACCTCAGCAAGAATAGGAGGATTCCCCGCAGAAGTTGTCAACTGCTGCCTCATCCTCCTCCTCCTCTCTCTCTATTTCTCTCTTCGCCGTCTGGGTGCTTACTAAAGCTCCGGCGGATTATTTGCAGTCGATTAATAGTGATGGTGATGGGAGTAGTAGTGGTGGGTTGCTGGGGGAGAAGAAGAGGGGTATTGGAAGAGATTAATGGTGATTGACGATGGGAAGAGGGGCGGTGGGTTGCTAAGGAGAAAAAAAGGGTTCGTGGAGATAGGGATTAGGGGAAATTTTTTTTATTTTTTTTATTTTTGTAATGACGTGTCGTCCACCTGTCAGTGAATGTTGAAGTGGAAACAAAAGAGAGGGTGAGTTGGAAGCCAGTTCAGCGTTCCGTTAATTTGACTAACGGTGTTACCGACGTCGTTAAATTATGTAACGGAAATGGCTATTATTGTCATCAAACTTTCAAAATTCTGGCTATTATTGGTATTTCTCCAAAAGTGGCTATAATTGTCACAAACGTCAAAGTTTTGGCTGCACAGATGCATTTTGCCTTATTTTAAAACCGTGATGAAGAGATGGTACATAGAAAAATCATCATACTAATTTGGATATAAAAAAATATATTCAGGTGAAAGTTTTAACTTTTCTCTCGTTTAGCGAGAGTAGTGCTTTGGCGGCGGAAACATTAGGTTTTTTTACTACAACACGGTGAATACAACTACTTACGAGGGAGACAAGGGGTATGTCTTACGAGTCTAGAAACGCTCAGTTATGTCGTCAATACAAGGATATTCCATTGAAAGAAGGCGGAGTAAGCAGCGGCGTACAAACCCTAATCTCAAAGTAATACGGCTGAAGAGTGTAACCCAAGTTACATCCGCAAAGGCGTCAATGAACAATAGAGAGGAGGAAGTAGTGCTAAAAGATGTTGTACCAGATACACTAGATCCCGTTGCTGGGATCGAAGCAAAACTCAACCAGATCGCTCTAGGCGAAGACGATAAAGAACCACTAGAAGTTGAAGATGTTGATGTCGATGTGGTCAAAATGGAGGCGGTCCGCCATCTGGGACTGGTAGGCAAACTGCTGTCAGATAAGGAACCTAACATTCAAACGATGAAGATGGCTTTAACTAAAGCATGGGGCTTGAAGAAGAGCTATCAGATCCCATAACTAGGTAATAACCTGTTCGCCTTTCAATTTTTGGAGATGGACGATTGAAACAAAGTCTACTATGGAGGGCCTTGGCACTATTAAATCAATGCCATGTTGTTCATGGCGAGTTGGTGGATAAAAAAACCAACCCCAGAAGACCTGCACAAGATGGAAATATGGATCCAAATTAAAGACTTCCTAGAAGAGGTCAGAACTCAGTCAATGGCAGAAAAAGTAGCTAACAGAATTGGCGAGCTCGTGTTCTTTGATGATAGCTCAGAGAAGAGGTGGGATGATTTTGTAAGACTAAGAGTGAGTATTTCTATCAATAATCCGTTGAAGAAAAAGATCAAACTGAATGTAGGAGGAGAACTAATGGAGTTTATGATCAAGTACGAGAAACTACCTCTCTTCTGCCACTCCTGTGGTAGAATAGGACATGTGAAGGTTAAATGTCCACAACCTTCACATCTAGCCACTGACTCCTATGGGTTTGTGATGACTCGATATTTACACATGTTTTTTCCACCATTCTTATACTTTAAGGCTCGGATGTCAGGTTTTAAGGCGATTATACTCTAGGTTTGTTCTTGTTTATGACATTTCAGGTCCTAATGTATGAATGAAGGTTTGAGCACGAGTTTGGGGTCGATTAGGCGAAATCGGGACGAGCGAGGGAGAGCAAACGAGTTGCACGGCTAGTACGGGAAAGCGCACGACCGTGCATGGTGGCCTTTTTGGCCGTGTGGGATTTACCGAGACTTAGCACCACCTGACCCTATTTTCGCACGGCCGTGCACAACTTATTTTATGGTCGTGAGGAATTATGCGAGAAGCTACACGACCAGGCTCGCGGATTGCACGGGCCTTGCAATGGCCGTGCACTCCCCCTGGTGGAACTAATTCAAACGACGCGTTTTGGGGTGCACGGGCAGCCAAGGAGGTTGCATGGTCGTGCAACCTGACCGTGCAATCGCGGGCAGCTGCATTTTTACCCATTTTCGGGTTTTGGAGAGGGGATTCGACTTTTTGAGAAAAAACAGAGTTCTAGAGAAGTGCGAAGAACAAACCCTAGGAGTTATTTGAAGTGGATTTATCACAATTGAAGCCTAGATTGCATCCCCAGGAGTGAAGATTGACATCCCATGGCAGATTATTCCCATTTTAGAGTATTACTGCTTTGTATTATGTTTTCCTCTCTCTCTCTCTCTCTCTCTCTCTCTCTCTCTCTATTGAGTAGACCTTTCTCTCACTTGGGTATGAAGAACCCTAGTTCCATGTGTTAGGGATTTGAGTTGTAATGACTTTTGGATTGATATACTGTTTGATTATAATCGATTGAAGTGTGTTTATTGAGTCAATTGAATCCTGATCAACTTCTTTTGATTTCTGCTGCACTTGTTAGAGCTTCTTCAATTGATAGGAGTGGATTGATTATACGGTGGTTTAATTCACTGCTTTGTACTGAAATCTACTTCCAGTAGTGGAGTTTTGTGTTAATTGCCTTAGCTTTCTACCCCGGTGAAGACTAGTCGTCTGCCGGCTAGTCTGTCTAAGAGGGCTTGGTCAGCTTAAGAGATTCCAAGCTACTGTCAGATCTTCCGCAGTTTAATCGACAGTAAATCAACCTAAAGAAATTAAAACTTGGACCTAACTAAGGAGATAGGGGCATTTATTCCCGAGTGACTCTTCTCTTGCTTCAGAAAACCGGGCAATTTGTTGTTTTCTTTCTGCTTTACTTTGAACTCACCTACATTCACTTAGTCCCGCTAGATAATAGATAATCACGGAGTAGGCAGTACATCTAGACCCTGGGTTGATAAATTAAACTTGCCACTATTGTGCATTTCCGGTCTGCGATTACACTTGGTCGTAGTTTGGTGTTGTGTCGTAGCGTGTCAAGTTTTTGGCGTCGTTGCAGGGGACTTCTAGGTTATTATAGAAACGTGAAAGTCTGTTACTTTAGTATTTTCTTTACTACATTCTCTCTCTTCCAACTATGTGCCTTCATGGGTTGTGTTTTCCATTTGTGTGCAAGTAGTGCATTACCCGTGCGTAGCTAGTCGGGAGATCTATTGTCGTTAGACCAAGAGCTTGAACAGACTTGTAGGAACTTCAAGCAAGTTTTGAAGGCACGACTGGCTGCAGAGGAAGCTTTGGAGCAACTGCACATCATTGAGGAAGAAGAAATGGGTGATCTAGTAAATGATAATGCGATTGTCCCCGAGGAGCACACCATGGGATACTACTGGACTGCCAGAGCCGCAGACAGGAGGTCCCCCATACAACACCCTTAAGTTGCTTCCAAAAACTTTGCGGTGAGTACCTTTGTCATCACCATGTTGCGCGACTCGGTGGTATTCCATGGAAAGGAGGGGGAGTGCCCCATATCTCACCTACGGTGATTCCACGAGCTGATCGATGGAATCAAGATAAATGGGGTCCCTGCCGATGCCATCCAGCTGAGATACTTCCCATTCACTCTAGAGGGGCAGGCCAAGGAGTGGCTGGACACTCGCCCTCCGGGATCGATCACTACGTTCGCCAACCTGGCGGACAAGTTCCTCACCTGCTATCATCCTCCATCAAAGACAGCGGACCTGCAGAAGCAGATCACTCATTTTGCACAGGAGGAAGATGAAACCATTCGGGATTCTTGGGAGAGATACACCAGTCTCTTCCTAAAGTGTCCCAATCATGGTTTTAATGATGCCTTGAAGGTGGGCACTTTCTACCACGCCCTCTTCCCAGAATATAAGCAGTTGATTGACTCGGTTTGAGGCTGGAACATGCTGACCAAGACGCCGCCGCAGTTGAATCCTCTCTTCGAAGAGATGGCAGAGTAGGGATATGACTGGGGAACTGCAAGGAGATCGATGCGAGCACCAGGCCGCGATGTGCATGTTGTAGCCACCCAGTCATCTGGGTTGGTGCAGGTTGTCCCGAAGATGGTATTAGCTATGGATCGTAATGGGATGATCTCCGGGACAGGGTAGTAGCAGGCGATGCAGTCCAGTGGTGTGAGAGCACCAATCACAAGGTGGAGGACTACCAGGCCATGCGAGAGTCTAGCACACCGCAGGAGCAGCTGAATGTCATCAATAACGGCGGTAGCGCCAGTATCCAAAATTTTCCTAGAGTGGCAACAACAATCCCAACCCACCTGGCTTTCTGGCTACTGTAGCTGGTTTTCAAAACCAGAGACAGTCTTTCCAGTCCCGCACAGGCCAGATGTAGCAGCAGCCATTTTATCAGCCCATACAGGGTCAGGCTTTTCCATAGCCCCCACAGTAGCAGTACCAACATCTTGGTGCTTCTCCATTAGTTCCAGCACCGGGCGATCCCGTGTCAGAAATAAGGGATCTAGTGACCACCTTGGCCAACACTAGTACCCAGAAGTTCAATAAATTGGAGTAATTCATGAAAGTGGCCGCAGGAAAATTCATAGAGATTGAAGCTAGCCAGAGGAACCACCAGGCACTCCTGCAGGATATGGACACTAAGAGCGGGCACCTGGCAAATGCTCTTGCTTCCAGACCGGCAGGCACACTTCATGGCCAACCCCTACCGAATCCCAGAAATCATAAGGAGGGGTTACACGCTATCCTGCTGAGAAGTGGGACTGTAACTGAAGATGAACCGTCGAGGAGTGCAAAGAA